CCTACCACCAGCAGAGATAGGGATATAGGGATCTCGCCTACCACCAGCAGAGACCGTGAGAGGTCATGGGGATCTCGCCTCTCAGGCTCTGGTGTCTTCTCATGAATGAATTAGGGTTTGTGCCAGTAATGCAACCCTCATCATGTGTTTCACATCTTCTTCCAGTTTGAGCTGGAGCAGCAGAAGATCGAGGAGGAGCAAGAGAACACGCCTGAGTTTGTCAGGATGAAGAGCAACCTGAGGAGGACGAGGCAGGAGGCAGAGGGGCCAGACCAGACCCCATAGTCTTGGTGGAGGGGGGGCTGTAGAGTCCACGGCACATGTCATGGTGACCACATCACAGGGGGGGGTGGGTGGGTGTGTGTGTTCTGTAAACAGATTTCCCCCAAACAGACTGGGGGCTCACCAGAAATCGAACCCTATCGCCCCCCCAGAAATGGGGGGCTCCCCCTCACAAGCTAGTTTTGTTTGTCACATTGTAAATGGACATTTGCACACTGGATGGACTCTGGAGCTTCTTTTGATTCACTTTTGTAAAGCCAACACGAGTGCAGTTATTTATGTGTTTTGTTCCTAGGTGTGGGATTCCGGCCATGTTTCTGCCGTTGTGGTTCTTTGCGTCACATAAGCTGGGGTCTGTTTTTCCTCGGGGTTGGGGGGATGGGGGAATCGGTGGGTGTTTAATTGTGTGACTCACTTTGCTGGTTTGGTTTCCGTATTATGCTACATTTGTTGGTCCTTCGGGGGGCAGTAAGTGTCGTTTCCTTTTCATTGTTTTATAAGAAATAAAGAATGATGATGATTTGCACGAAACGTGTGGCTTTACACTGCAGTGTGTGTGTTCACATTTGGCAGAGGGTAGAGTTTTGACCAAAAGGGGGCATTTTCTACAATGGTTGAAGGAGGGAACTGATGGCAAAAAATTACAATGTCAACCTGATGCTCTTTTTTAAAGCTTTTTCTTAAAAAAAAGAAAATAAAGGGGATTTTTAAAAACTCTTTCTAAGCCATCTGATATGCCCCACGATCGAGTTCCCACGGTGGTGAAAATGAGACATGGGCAGATGTTTCAGGTGTGTGTCATTTCTGGAGCAAATCACACAGAATGTGGGCGGCGGGCACTGAACTTGTGACCTTGCAGGGCACGACAGGTGCCGCCAAAATCAGGCCCCCCACCGTTAAGTTGTACCTTAACGTTCCAAGATGTTCTCAAAAATGTCCTTAGCTAAGTAGACCATCTGTATGAGATACTGAACCACTCCTAGCTACACTACATGGACAAAAATATTGGGACACACCTCTTAATCATTGAAATCAGGTGTCATTCAGACACTCTTCTTTAGGTATATGTTTCACATTGTTGATGTATACATACATTATCTATTTATTCATTTACTGGGGAGGGGAGGGGTCCCCTAGTTCTGACACCCCTGGAATACACACATCTCTCTAATGTGCCAAAGTCACACTATAATAAAAATTTCGATTCATGAGATTGATAAATGTCAACACTGTAGGTTCATGTACATGTATATCTAATGTATTAGACACACTGGAATAGTCCTTATGGTCATTAATGAAGCACATTGGACATTCTCTTTTATTAAGACAGTAATGCAACTTTTCTTTCAGCTGTTGTGCCATTGCTTATCCCAATATCGATGACATACACATATTCGTGCATGCTGGTGTTTTATAGCAGTGTTCAATCCTCAGTCCTCGGGGAACCCTGGACGGTCCACGTTTTTGCTTCCTCTCAGCTCCCAGCCACCTGTACCAGGTATTCTGTGTTCCTGATCATAGCTGTCAATTCTCCCGTTTTGGCCGGGAAACTACCGTATTTTACCCCACTTTCCCGCCGTCCTCCCGTATTAGTATTTTCCCGTAAATCTCCCGTATTATAATATCATTAAAAAAAAACAAAAAAAACCTCTGCCTCTCCAAACTGAACTGTCAGTAGCCTCGCGAGAACTGATACCTGCTGTAGTCTGCAGGTTATTTACATTAACCAGGTCATAAATGCGGAGGTTAAAATGGCGATGCTGTGTGCCAAAACCAACGTTACTTTCACCTTCTGTGACGACTTCAACAAGGATACAAAGTCTGCAACAAATCTGTATAATAAGTCATTAGTGAATGCCAGAGAGCCATATGAGTGAACATGAGAAATTAAAAGAAAATGTGTAATGAAAATAAAATGTAAATGACAAGTGGTTATGTTAGATTTCTCGTACACCTGTCTTAAAATGTAAGGGATACTGGAGCTTGGTTGGGGTGGTGGGATGGCTCGCGGTGGGTGCCGGGAAATTTCCCTTATTTTCAAATCCAAAACTTGACAGGTATGTTCCTGATTGGCTGGGAGCTGGGAGAGAGCAGAAACGAGGTTCCCTGAGGACTGGGTTGGGAAACACTGTTTTATAGAACAAATAATTGCCCAGTCGGCAAAAATCATATTTACGGTTAGATTATTCAGTTTGTTTATTTTGTTTTTTAGGTTCTCCTCAGTTGCAATATTTTGATATTCCTGCTGTGTTGTATTTATAAAGAACAGCCAAGGAGTCACTGCACAGGTTGTCACAGCTCTGCAGAAGATGACGTTCTACATTTACCCATTCTACCCCAACCAAAGGACTCCATTCATCGCATTCTGCGATTCGCTAGAACATCATATACTGCATAGAAAGCAACGTATGATGTTCCCACTAATGCGCTGCGTTGCATTGCATTTTGAAAAAGCATTACTGCGCGAATTTCTCTGCGCTGTGCACCCCCATTGATGACAATGAAAGATGACAATGAAAAACGGATCCAAACGCATTCAAAGTGTTTGCGTTTTTCACTCCATCTTTCCCCCTCTACAAACACGAAGGACAATCATATCCAATCATAGAAACGGCCAATACAATGCAACAATAAAAACGTATAAAGACGGACAAGAACGTGGACCAACGTGAGATGAAAACGCAGAAAATCGCATGCGAAAAATTGGTACAAACGCAGTACGTCGCGTTGCGTTTTAATTTTTTGGCTTCCCTATTGTGAACATGCCCTAAGCGCCCATTAATTCGGAGAACAGACGTGAAACAGTGCAGAACATCAGTAAGGCATACCTCCATAATCTCCATAACACGCTGGGCAACTTTATCGGAGATCTCACCTCTGAGCTCTGAATGCAGCCACTTCAAGACACAGGATGGCGCAATTTCATCGAGAAAGATCGAGAAGTTTTAGCTCGTATTTTTATTTCCATGAAGAAAAAGTAATTATCAGATTATATCCACTACGTACGAGCAAAGTTCTTTAACAGTTACGTAGATCATTATTTATTTGATTGATTTGTATTTTCAACAACGGTCATACAAGTTTTTATATGTCGGACAATATATTTTATTCATTCTTAATTAACAAAAACAAAAACAAAGAAAACACTAAAGAAAATTGACTTGCATATTCTAAAAGAGCCTTTCGGGCGGGAGTCCCACAAATATTCCGCTTGCTTTGTGTTGTAAAAGACGTTAAACATACTATGGAAACTAAACTTCAGGTGGGTGTGACAAAATGTGAATCATTCAACCAAGACATTTTCATCAAAGCAAACCACAACTTCAACAAATGTCTTTATACCATTTCTCTTAGGTTTATTTTTATCATGGGTTACTTTAAGGAAATGAAATTTTGAAATGCGCCCCCGGTTATTTATACATTTATGTCATGAAAAGTAAAATAAGTTTAATACAATTATATTAATGTAGAAATCAAGAAATAAACACAACATATCACGAAGGACAGAAATCATAAATCCTATCGATGTTTTTTTTTTTTGCCTGATTTTCAATTGAATGGTATAATATTCCAAATAGTGGGCGACATGGTGGCGCAGTGGTTAGCACTGTTGCCTCACACCTCTGGGACCTGGGTTCAAGTCTCCGTGTGGAGTTTGCATGTTCTCCCTGTGTCGTCGTGGGGTTTCTTCCGGGCACTCCGGTTTCCCCCCACAGTCCAAAGACGTTCTGAGGCTGACTGGAGTTACTAAAATGCCCATAGGTGTAAGTGACTGGGTTGGTCCCCCTGCCTCGTGCCCATTGCTTCCGGGATAGGCTCCGGACCCCCCGCGACCCAGTCGGATAAGCGGGTTGGACAATGGATGGATGGATGGATGAATATTCTACATATACAATGACAGGAGTTTATTCTTTGGCTACTTTAGAGGACTTATCTAAAATATCTCATTTAATTTCCAGTAATTCGCATTAGATTTGCATTTTTTACATCAAATTTGATGCTTAAAACATCGAAATAATCAAAGATGTTATATCATAGCTATCACAAGGTTCCTAAAATTAAAGGCTGAAATCGTGGCATTCGCTTCTTAAACATTTTAATATTTGTACACAAGATATGTGAAGTACTGTAATCCAGAGAACACAAAATTAAAATATGTTTAATCAAATATTATCATTAAAAAATACAGTTTTCATATTAAAAAGAACACGACTATTTTGCACACTAATTAGCTGAGATACAGGAAAGATTATTTAGATTTAACGCTCAGGTAAATCACTAAATCAGCAATAACTACAGCATGTTTCCATTAAAGCTTAGTTTGCGTAAATTGTGTTAGTTTGTGTAAATTCTCCATCAGTGGCTGTTAAAACACAAAACCGCTTTCAGGAAGGGCTGTTTTAGCTCTCCTTGTTTTTCCTTATTTACATACAATAATTCTTGATACTTGTCACCGTAAAGGTTTTACTGCCGGATTACATATCAGTCTTACAAACTAATAGCTGATTAAGAGGATCATATATTTATAAGGTGTTTTTTTAGAACATCAAGCTTTTAAAAAAATGTTACGAAATGTTTTCCTGTCCATTGCCTTATCAAGTTTGAAGCGGCAGGAAGTCATTTCAGTACTAACGTGCCTAAACCTCTACACTCATCGCCAGACTACGCTGTTGATGTCCCGCCGTAAACATCTGTAACTGTGGTTACATTACTCGTATACTTCTTGTCTTCAAAGTCCAGCTTAAGTACCCTTTCATTATAAGGCCTCAGAGCTACAGCCATAAATCACGTTATGCAACATTTAGTTTGGAAAGATTACGATATGAAGCTGATATGATCTGGCATCGCGTCCAGGGTATCTGTCTTGTGCTATGAACTTCCCGGGAGAAGCTTCCGGCTCTCCTCCACCCTCTCCTGGACGATGGGTGGATGTACAATCTGACTCTCTTGCCTAGGATTTCATTTTTAACAGTAGGCGCACACACACAAAATAAATATACCCTGTGACTTGTTTAAATGTTACCTTTTAACCCTTTTGCCCGGACACCCCCAGTCCTGCACATTTTTGGGTTTCCCCCCATTTAACCACCCATTTCTTCAGCTGAATAAGGTGTGGAGGAGCTGGAAAAGAAGTAAGTTGTGCAGGTCTGGGACTGGAATGCCTGGTACAACTGGTATTATTTACCCAAAACATGATGAAACTGAAATACAATTTTACAAAACTGCAAAGTTGACAGAAATATGACATAAAAACTAGGACAAATGTTCACTCTCCAACCCTATCGATTTTGAATTTTGAACTGCATTTCAGAGAAACTCTGATCTTTGATGCAAGAAAGAAATTAGATTAAGACATTTTATGAATCAAATGCTTTCAAATGTAACAGGCCCATAAGATTCCAGTTTAAACCCTAACCTTATCAAACACATGAACTTCCATTTAAAGCCGACTCCAGATACTCAAGAGGATCTATTGTGCTATAGTCGTATTCTGTCATGTTACCATAGTACATTGAGTTGTTATTCTCCATTTTTTGCATGTTTCTTCATTAAAGAAATCATTAAAATCTTGCAACCAGCAAAAGTCTTACTTGTGTAAACATGGTGCATAAATACTTGTGTGGTTTGCTCTGAAAAGTTAACATACTTGATGCTGACTTCCTTAATGACACGTGGTATCAGATGGAAGGACTGATAAATTGCACCACACAAAAAACTCCAAAAACCATAAATAATCCTATATTTTTTGATCTTCAATATGGCACCTTTAAATATTCACGGCAAGTTTCACATAATGCATAATTTTTCTCTACAGTAGCAATTTTCTACATTTTAAAAGCTCTGCTCCTGTAAGGTGTCCTTCCCTGGCACTGAAATCTGAACACTCCCAGTGTACCTGGTCCTCTCCGTTTCCTTAGACGTGATGGAGTCCTTCTCTTGGTACGTGGTGGAGGTGCTGAGCTCTGAGTTCCTCTTGGTGGAGATGCTTAGGAATCTTTTGGGAAGCAATCCTACCACCTTTTTCCGCATGTAGCTGTCCATCCAGAAGTAAACTAAAGGGTTCATACAGCTATTACTGAAGGCCAGACAAGTGGCCAGGGATACAGATTTAATCAGATAGTCAAAAGCCTCTTCGGAGAACTCCAGGTACCCAGATTTATTCAGGATCAACACTGTGCGTAGAATGTTAAAGGGCAGCCAGGTCAACACGAAGAGGACCAAAATGCAGAAGCCAATTCTAATGGAGCGCCTCTTATTCCTCTTAGCCTTGCTGGCCACCTGGAAATGTTGGTACAGCTTTAGGGCCACAGCAGAGTAGCAGAAGGTAATGATGACTAGTGGCAGCAGGAAGGCTATTACCCGAGTCATCAGGCTGAAGACGACCTTGGTTGGGGAGGCTGTGTCCTCACATCTGGATGCATCGACAGCCCTGGAATGGAAGCTGTGGGACCCAAGCAAAAGCGACGTGATCCAGACCATCAGGACAGTCAGGTGGGCATAGCGCTTGGTCCTCATCCGCCTGGTGTTCAGCGCCATGACGATAGCCATGAACCTGTCCACGCTCATGCAGGTCAGCAAGAAGATGCTGGAGAACATGTTAACTGAGATCACATAGGAGCTGAACTTGCACAGAAAGTCCCCAAATGGCCAGTTGTCCAATGAGAGTGAGATGATCCACAGCGGCAAAGTGACCAGGAAGACCAGATCAGCTACAGCGAGATGTGTGATGAACACGTCCACCAGTCTCTGTTGTTTGGTTTTCACCATCATCAGGTATATAACCAAAATGTTACCCAAGGTCCCGGAGCAGAAAACCAAGGTGTAGAACACGACTATTGTGATTTTAATTGCGCTCTTGTCTTCCTCCAGATACTCAAGAGGATCTATTGTGCTATAGTCGTATTCTGTCATGTTACCATAGTACATTGAGTTGTTATTCTCCATTTTTTGCATGTTTCTTCATTAAAGAAATCATTAAAATCTTGCGACCAGCAAAAGTCTTACTTGTGTAAACATGGTGCATAAATACTTGTGTGGTTTGCTCTGAAAAGTTAACATACTTGATGCTGACTTCCTTAATGACACGTGGTATCAGATGGAACGACTGATAAATTGCACCACACAAAAAACTCCAAAAACCATAAATAATCCTATATTTTTTGATCTTCAATATGGCACCTTTAAATGTTCACGGCAAGTTTCACATAATGCATAATTTTTCTCTACAGTACCATAAAATTTAATTTGGTCTCCTACACAGAAAATGGGTGAAAATATTGTAACAAAAATGTAAAATGGACTACATAAGAAAGCTTCTCAAAACAAATACATGTAATATAATTTATTATACATGTTTGCTGAATTTATTATAACCTTTGAAGAATTACTAAACTTATCTCTAACCAAATTCCATGAGTTATGTGGTAGTAGAAATAATAATAATAATAATAATAATAATAACACAAGATAATTACTTAAGTGTAGGTACTGACTGTTTTTCATTCAATATTTAATTCACGTATGTATTAATTAGTTACATGCAGTTGTTGACTATAAAAAATTGTTTGAACCATTGTTGTGGGTAAATAACATATGAAGATTGTCATTTACAATTATTTTATCATTAGTACTTATAAACTAAGAAGTATTTGCTACTTACGAGCGGTTCCCTTACGCAGCGGGAAAGATGAGGCTTTGGTTATTAACCGTGACACAGACATAACCATGAGAAAAGCAGAGACGCTTTAATCGCTGTTTATTATGAAACTTTAAGGGGAATTTACTCAAGTCCTTTGAGTGACTCCTGACCACAAAACAGGTTCTAACAAATTTCTGTTCCATTTCTTATTCAAGACACATAATGTTTAACTAAACTTTGATCACGTAAACTTTAAAAATGATCATAACACCTGTTGTTGTATAGACACAGAAATGTACATATATTTCTCTACTTTATTTGGTTTGGCATTCTAACATTCGAGATATTATTATTCTAAACGATACTAATCACTGCCATTTTCGAAAATAATATACACACTAGATGCTATTCAGAATTGCATCCATCCCGGTAAAGTGCACATAGCGATAAAAGGGGTTACGTAATGCATACTATACCTCCTAAATTTTCATTAAACAGTTCTTCTGTTGTACATTACTTGGTACTTTACAATAGTGCTTTTTTAATGGCTCATTGTTTACATCAGTTTGATAGCTAATTACGATTGATTTTTGATGACAGATGATTTCCAATCTATCTTTAAATTGAATCCTGCCCATTAAAAAAATCTTTATGTTTGCCTTATATCATTAAAATATATTTTGTCTTAATTCCTTTTTGTTTCAAAACTTTGCCAAATTATACTTCATGTTATAAAGACCTGAGCTGGCACAAAAGTCAGGATACCGTATTGGTACCCAACATCGAAGCAGGTTTCGCTTTGACCTGAATTTCCTAAATATAACTTCTACCACCGCCTGGTGGTAAGATTATTTTTTTAGCTTTGTAACTTAAACCCAGGCCACCTTTACCAATTTCTCCACTTAAAGTATTAAAATCTTTCTGAGAAAAAGGGTGATTTTTGTCTTGGGATGTGACTGATATGACAAACTTTCCCAACTGTCACATGACACCCGCATGACCAGGAAAGGGTCATCAGAAAGACCTGAGTTAGTCACTAATCACAGGGCTGCCACCTCTCACACTTTCAGTCTCTCACGCTCATGCAAGAAACCTTACGACAAATCTATATTGTCCCATTATAAATCTAAAATTAGCTTATCAAAAGTGTTGCAGCAGTGTGCAAACCCTACAGACTATTTACAAGGTAATAAAACTATTGCATACATGTAAATGCGTGTGCAGACTTTTCTCGAATTAAAAATCTCAGTTCAGCCAACTGAGCAAAGTCGGCCAGCCTGTAATCACTAAGTTTAAATTCAAGGGCCCTCTGTCAGTGAGGGTTTATGGCTGTTGTGCTACAGAGTGCAAACACAGATAAATATGTGGCCGATTTTTCATTCTTGCCGTTTCTGCAGACTGTTCATTACAGACAAGCAAAGTCTTCAAGAGATAATCAGAGCTTCAATCCACAGCTGCTCGAAACCTACTTCGCTTTTCTCTGTTTCTTTACTGTTGGGTCGGTTGTCGAACCGCAGCCAGTAAGCCAGTCTGACCGAATCTATATGCGAAAGCAAATCTTGGAACTGACATATACTTTTCATATTTGAACCCAGTCAGGTGCCTAGATGTTGACCGTGACAGAGGTGTGAATGATGCATGTTTGCAGGACTGATAAGTGTGAAAAGGCTGGAGTACAGGCCCCATTTGGTTGAGACACCATCTTGAGGTTTTTGCTTTTCTCGCTGACGTGCTGAAAAACCTTCCCAAGCTCGCACACTGGCCTCGGCCGCATGGGAACCCGGCCCCCGAAGGAGAAACGTGAACAAACCTTCCAATACACATATACTGTATAGTTGCTTGTAATTATTACGAGCAATAACAGTGGTAGAGGCGTAAGTCAGTATATCTACTATTCTTTTACAAAATGGCACACCCCAGACGTTTACTTGACTACATTTAAAAGTAAGTACTTGGTACTTTCACTTAAGTAAGATTGTTGATGTAGCACTTCTACTTTTACTTGAGTACATATTTTGCAGGATATTTGTACTTTTACTTAAGTACTAAGCTTCAGTACTTCCTCCACCACAGCCGTTGGCTGAAAACTCTCATGCATCAGGCGTGACACTCACGCTTTCAGACCCGCACGCTGACGCGAGAAACCTTACGGCAAATCTATATTTATCCATTATAAATCCAAATTTAGTTACATAAAAACCATTAAGTTAGTTTGCAAACCCCACACACTGTTTAAAAGGTAATAAAACTCTTATATACATGTAAATGCAAGTGCAGGCTTATCTTGAATTAAGAATCTTACATCAGCCAGCTGACGAAAGCAACATAAAATTGAGAAGTTGAGGTTAAGTTGAGGGCCTTGTTCAAGGACCCAACAGCAGATATGGACAGTTCGGGTCCAGAAAGTAAAAGTCCAGACCATGATTTTGCTACATCTAACCAGTTGAGTACTATGTGACTGTGACTCCTCATACATGGCTGATTGGTCGAAACAAAACCTTGCCTTGGATTTGTACTTTCTGACCAATGGTGACTGTGACCATAGGATTTGAATCTGCAACCTTCCAATCGCAGGGCGTTTTTCCACCGCAGCAGGTACCATACTTTTGGTACTTCCAGAAAATACCAAAACTATGGCACTTCAAGGTGTTGGTTTTCCATTGGCGTAAAAACTAGTACCGGCACCAAATGACATCACAACTTAAGGCAGGGGATTTTGTACTGGATTCGAAAAATGGCTGTAGTACGACTGGATGGCATGTGATATTAATACACATCCAATTCTTACATCACTAGTCAGTTATATTAAAATAAGGCTTTTTCTTACTTTCAATTCTATACAGACATTGTATAAAGTTTTGCTAAAATATTTTTACTCTTTTACTCTGTCATAGCAAAAAAAAAATGTAGCAAGCTTTGCAATTTTAATTAGTATTCCTTTTATAGATTCTTACATTTTCAGAAATCAGTTTAAAGTTTTACTTCCGCTGCTTTTGCATGAGCGCTGCACGCGTTCTCTGAGACAATCATAATCATTTTCATCCTTGGTGTTTAAAGATGGGTTTGTGAGAAATTTGTGAACTCCTTTTTTGTCTTATAAATACCCCAATATTTAACACGATAAAATCACATCGCTAGGACAGTATACGTTGTATGCCTGTTTTATTGGTGTATTCAACAAAATCCTTTTTACTTTCTTGCCATGCCATCCAGATCTTCTTGTTGTATATGTTCTTACGACCAAATCACATAATTATTTTTTTTCGTTATTTTCTGAGTTCGCAACTGTTTTCAAAGCGGCGTTTGTATTGTGTTTCAGAGGCAGGCTATTTGCATCACCAATCAACAAAGAAAATGTTTCCACACCGAAGTACCAAAGAAGTACCCCAGCTGATTTGGCCAAAAATGGTAAAGTACCAAAAATACTTTACCATTAGTATACAGTACTCGGTGCGGTGGAAAACCGCCACCGGACACAGTATTCCAACCTTCTGAGCCACATTTCATGTGAGTACCTGACATCCTAGCTTGAGTTTAGCGTAAACCTGGCGTATGATGGCTCTGGAGTATACTACAGAAATTCACCGTGACCTGCCGGTGCCCTTGAGTGATATGGGAATAGCAGTAACAGATTACTCGCGCTCTGAGTCGACGTGCTCTTGTTTGTAGCCCGAACATATGTCATTTCTAAGTCTCAGAGGTCTGCAGCTCAGCGTCACACAGAAGGACGCCGGATTCATCCCACACCCGACACGTCGCTCGTGATTCACCCTGAGAGTCTGTGGGCACTGTGAACTGCGAGAGGCCGAAAGTTCATTTAGCAGGACGTGATTTATCTGAACAAAGACAGTTTTGAATGTACAGTCCGCAGGTTCATACGGTGGGAAAGGACTCACAAACCTGACAGTAAGGAGGATGCTGTCATCGTACCGGGAATTTGAAAACCTACGACGGCTTCGCCTGACAGATTCCCTCGTCGGGGGAAAAAATACAGCACTGCGTGAAGAATAGCTCTGGCCAGTCAGAGCTGTCCTTTTCAGCGGGGGCGAAAAAAGAGATACGTGACACGTGTGTGGCTGGCTGTTCGCAGGCCGCTGGGAGCCAGCTAAGGATAGACACTATGTGCAGAGAAACAAAACCAAAAGCAAATCACGGGACTGAAAAAAGTAACGAAAGACTGGCTGTGCTGGATTCTCATGGCTCACGACCCTTTTTCACCGAATCTGTAAAACCCCGTTAAAATAATAATAAAAAATTAAGAACAAAGGCAAACTTGAAAAGTTTTTAAGCTGTTCTTAATATTGATATGTTACTAATACATTCAGTCATGTTTTGGCTGTATCACAGGACCAGCAGAATCTGAAATATTTACAGTATAATTATTTAGCCACATGTAGTTGGGGCTGCACGGTGACACAGTGGTTAACATCTGTGTATTATGTTCTCAATGCTGTTTGAACCAGAAGCCTGGGGATCGATTAAGCCCATCTTAATCCTAATCTTGAATTGCTTCTCAGAAAATGCTTCTGCTGAGCTTATCATTTTCACTGTAAAATACTTACATACCTATCCACCACTGAAATGATTTTATTCAGAATGGTCTAGTTTTTCATTAAAATACTCTCACATTTTTTAACAAATTATATTTAAAAATTTTATCGTGTATTTAAAAATTTGTCCTTGTGTTCCAGTATAAAATGGGGGAGTCAGCACTAAGGGGACAGGGGACACTGCCTGACTGACAGGCGCAAACGCAGAGCTCGCAGGTCATTGGCTATTCTGCGAGGGTGGATGTGGTCAAAGGCGGGGCTACGCCAAACCGTATTTTACTGTTATTTAATGAGCATAGTGCATATGTCTTCAGCAGCAGCCGTTTAATTAAGTCAGGTGAATATTACTTACAAGCTCAGTGGGGAGGATCGTGCCCGTGAGCCATTTGTTTGCTCGTGATCGATGCGGCTTGCCTACGGACGCCCGGATGAGTTTACCGCGCGCCACATCAACGCAATAAATGTGTCTAAGAGTCTGCTCTCTCCACGGGGCCTGATTCATGAACCCGGCCTC